AAAGATTCGTGACCAGTCTGTTGAAAGTCGCGAGAACGTTCTTCATATCTTGTGGCATCATCAACCAATCCCACAACATAACACTGGGGGTACTGACTGCAGTTAGTAGTGTATCATGCTTGCTCATTCAAGTCTAATAGAAACCATTATTCAGCTCGATCACCTCAGAATAGTACTGCCAACCATTCCATCAGAAAAAATATTTTGCGTGGAACCGGGGTCTGGGCAGGTATTATCGCATCATTCAATTTGCTGAAAGCGTGAACAATGCTACAGCCACCTGTGGCTTTCTTTACACAGAAGGTTGGTCTACAACGCGGAGATTTGCTCTCACGCACATGACCAGCCTTCTGTCGCTGCGAAAAGAACTTGTCAATTGTCGCTACGGCCACTGCCGTGTAATACAATACTTTGTACTAGGAAGCATGTCAATCTCACGACGAATGCTTCTGTCAGATGGCAATTCGTCCGGCGCCTTGTCTGGGAAAATATTTGCATATTCCTTGACAGGTCCAAACACGAGGTATGAGCTTAGAGCGTCCCACGACTGCTCATCAAACCTCTTCATTTGTGTCTTCTCATCAAAGGCTTCCGCAGTAGTCGATTGTTTCTTCGACGATCGCAAATATTTGCAAATTTTGCCTTTTACCAGGCTACGCTTCAGCGTCTTCTTGTTCTTTCCCGGCAAGAAAAACATTTTTTTACTGATTTTGGAGGATTCTCACTCCTCACGTAACGGATAACATCGACGTCATATTCTTCGTTGTAGGCCACAACATTTACAGACTCGCTTGAAGCGCCTTGTTCTCGATCACTTCCCTCATCAATACAACTTGTATATTGATCAGGGGCGCGCAAAATACCCGACAAAACTCTCCTTGGCGGCCTTCTTATTCTTCTCAGGATGGGTCTTTGCCTGTAATCCCACTATTCTTCATACCACCATCGACTATGACTTCCATGGCGATGACAAAGGAGACAGTTTTTTTTTAAGTCTGACTACCCCAACTCCAGTTGATACTTTCGTCTTCTTCGACTTGTCCTTTGAACAGGGGGGGCATCGCATTTCATAACATCACTTGGGACATCTGTGACTTCCTCAACAGATGCATACGCCCATACCATTTTGTTTGTCGTCATGCATCTCATACGACGATCTTCATATATATCCAGTCAATGCTAGGCTGATAACGCTTCAACCATGGCATACCTAGGATGGTATCAAACTTTTCATCGAGGTAGAGTAGGATAAACTCGTCTACACCTCGGAAGTCTTCAAACTTCATTGCAAAGCAAATGACTTACTTGGGCATCTTCATTCTAAAAACATTCGCTGAACGGAATATCATCTCTTCTTTCACATAGGACAGGCTAACACAATGCCAGTTATAACTTGCGCTCGAACATAGTTGCTCGATGCTTCAGTGTCAATCAAAGCTCGTAGTGATTTCTGAAAACCGTCCACAACGACGTCTTGAACAATCAAAGTCGCTCACTACTATCACTCATAGTGGGAACTGCATGTGCATCATGCACGTTGAAGCCAGAGCTCTGTGTATCCACAACATCCACAACACTTTTCTTGGGTCCGGAGGTAGCTCTGCCCTTACTCGCCGTTCCCGTTTTTTGACCCTTGGAGCGTTCAAACCTACGACCGTTATAGCGTCCGCGTCAGCCGAACGGAAAATTTGTGTTTCTTGCCGACTCGGCAACGACACTCTGCAATTCCTAGCGATACGACCCGGTTTTTCACAACCAAATCACTTTCCATCGTTGCGAGGACGCTCATTTCTAGGTGTGGAATTGTACGAATTGCCCATTGGCTCTAAACGATCACCTGTACTAGTCAACTGACGCGTCGCCGTCGTACGAAGCCATTGAACTTGGCTTGCTTGATGCTGAAATTTATTTGCATCGCGCGGTTGATGGCATCGTCCAGCGTCGTGGGATGCGCACGGACAAGTTGATTTGGGATCGGACAATCATTGAGACCAGCCATGAACATTACAGCTTGCAAATAGTCGTCAATTGGCTCGTCCTCAATGCTTGGTACTCAGTAGCGAACACGTGCATACACGTGTTGGTTGTACGATCTTGACGAAGCTTCAGGAACTCGGCACGGACACGAAACTCACTCTGTTGTGGCTCAAACGCCTTTCTTGGCTAGAAATCGAAGTGTTCGTAGCTGGGAAACGGCTTTAATCGACTAAACGCTGATATTACGTTCAATTTTTCACACCACCGCAAGGTTAAACAACGCGATCAACACTTGCTTCAAGGAGACTTGCAGCTATCTTGCAGTTGTATCGCAATGATCGCAACATCCAACTCGATAAACCATCGCGAGGAAGGCCCGTTCTCCCCACCACGGTTCAAAGATACGTTTAGCTTTAAAGTCATCGTTATGTAAAAAACAGGAGTTGCGACCTGCTTTCCAGATTCCATCATCTTATGATGCATGAGACTGACGGCTGCGTTCTTATGATCATTCGGAGAAGACGAACGCGGTAAATTAATCTTCAGATGACCTCTCGCATCTACTTGAGTGCCATCCACTCATGTGAAGCCGAATGATGGAACACCTCATTCATCAACACATCAGCTTGCGGATTGATGGACCGAGTGGAACCCCTGCTTCCTCCATGTCGCTCGGACAAGGACAAAAGTATGGCTTGAACTACAATGCGCGACGTGCTTATCAGCAGCAAAAATTTAGTGTCGCTGAAAAGATCGCTCAAAGTGTAAGAGGTGTAAGAGAACGCATAACAGTCCATCAAACACAATACACACGCTTGTGCGACGAGGAAGCGATTACTGACGTGGAGGAGACCGACTTAGAGCTCAAGACAAACTTGCAACTGATTTAAAATAAGTTACGGTACCTAGTTACAATGCAGAACACCCCAAGGGATCCTAAAAATTTTACAAATAAACCGTGGATGTTTATTTTATAAGCGTGTACTGAGGTTGAATCTCAGGTTGATCTTATACAGAATTTGGGCGTACGAAGCTTAAACTTCGACGGAGCGAACCCGCTTGGTACGCAACAAATAATACTGAGGGTGACTCTCTAAATAAAGCATCATCAAGAAAGAGATTAAACGCAACGATCAGCGAGCGCTACGCACTAGTGACCCAACATGTGCAAATGGGTAAGCATGTACGTGCATACGTTCGAAACGCGACAAAGTGTAAGATCTTAGCCAAATGTGTCGGCGACTTTGACCAGCCTGTCAGTGCTAACACAGTGTTGATAGTGCATCGCATGGAGTCTTCCTTCGCAAACAAAAACATGTCAGTTCGTGGACACGAAAACTAGCGTTGTCAAATTTGGTGTTTTTAAAATGCTTCTTGTAATCCCGACGTTGTAGTCTTTGTGGACCATTCAAACAAAATGTATCATTTGGGCGACGTATGTCGCAGTCGGGCGCCAATTTCCTTTCAACGCTTGTGATGCCGCAAATGAATAAGTCAATGTGTCTTCTTCGCCCGATGCTTTAACTGAGCTATGCAACCCCGACAGTGTCACCTTTGCCAATGTATCTCTCGCACGGTCTTAAAGGAGCTCACAAATTGCTGTTATCAACAGCTGATCAAGCCGTTAGCGTTACCCTTGAGAAGTTGTGACCTGTGGGATCAGAAAGTTAGCGAGAAAATTAAGTACTTTGCTCTCAGATTGAGCTGATGGCGCATCCATAAGTTTTAAGGGCTGTGTCGCGACTCGGTAACAGCTTGAGGTTGATCGAAGCCAGAACCTGGACTTTGGCAATTTAATGGAGGTCGCTGTGACCCCGTGTTTGTAGACAAGCAGGCTGAACCCATTGATCTAGGCGCGGCTCATCGTTAACGGATCGAACCTTGTGTCGGACCCAGAGTGGTGCGTGTCACCAGTTTCAGTATCAGAGATCGGGAACGCAATGTATAGCCGCGCGACGTGTAACTAGTGCTGCCTACTCCAACAAAAGTACCGTGACCCTCGTACATAGAGATTGTTTGACTTGTTGGGTACGCGTGTATAAACGCAAAGAGCGTATACCCAAAAGACGTGTCGAGAACGCACATCTAAGAAATGCTGTCCAAGTCAAAGATTGGTTTGATTAAAATTACTAGCAAGTTTCATAACTGCCGGCGTGGGGCCGAGCAGGTGGACCCTGAACTTGACAAGAGCATACTTCATCGCAAGTAGCTCCTTGTCATGAACTAGGTAGTTCTTCTCTGTAGCTTTG